AAATAAGACAAATATAATTTATGTATTTAATTCCATTTTATTGAACAGTGTCTTTGCTGCTGACCTTCGATGATCCAGTTCAACCATACTAAGCAAAAATGACACATTTGTGTTTAGTTTTTGTTATTGCTGAATGGTGTTGAACTTTCTTCTCCTGCGTCATATTCTTCATGCAATTTGTTTGCGCTGCGCCCTCTACTGTACAGACGTGAATTTACATTTCCTTCAGCCTGAGGCGTATTCATTTCACTTTTGTTGTGAAAGGGCTTTTACATTTGTAAAAGAAGAACTTTTTTATATTAGAAACAGACAAGCAAGCCCTGCCTAGATTTAAAAAGTAACTCAAAACTAAACGCATTACTATCTAAGTAACGTAATTAGTTACTTTTTTAGGGTGCAACGCAATATTGTAATGCATTAGCTACTTTTAAAAGTAACTTTCCCCAACACTGTTTCCTATGGTAGGACAAATGTTCTGATTTTTTTTATATTAACTTTTTTTATGACTTGGACATAATTATTTATTAATTATTTTAACAAATTGTGTTTAATATTCAAATAAAATTCATATATTTTGATATTAAAATATTTGATAAATATATATACTCTCAAAACACACCTGTATGCTGATACTGAAAATACTCTATCGCAGCAGTTTTATGAATGTATTTATTTATTTTGATTTTGGAAATATAACCTGGATGTTTTATTTTTTTTTTCTCAGTGGTGTTGACCCGCACATGCTCGTTTCAGATTCAACAAATTTGCAGTTTGAAATTAGAAGCATCCTAATGATGGATTTTTTTTTTCACTTCTCCAGATGTTAACTGATGGATTGGAGTGGTGTGGATTATTGTGGTGTTTTTATCAGCTGTTTGGACTCTCATTCTGACGGCACCCATTCACTGCAGAGGATCTATTGCTGAGCAAGTGATGTAATGCTACATTTCTCCAAATCTGATGCAGAAACAAACTCATCCACATCTTGGATAGCCTGAGGCTGAGCACATTTTCAGCATACTGTATGTTCATTTTCGGGTGAATTATTCCTTTAATACATCTTCAAGTAGGTAGAAGTGACACAGTGAGTTTCCCATGAATTAGAAACACTCCCATCTCAGGCCGTTCTAGCGCTTTCTTTCTGTCCTGTTTTTCTTCTGCCAGAATCTTTTATGCAATCGGTCTCCTACTGTGTCTTTAGGAGCACAGCACAGCCGTTAACTGAGCACTGCATGCTCCAACTCATAATTAACAGCGTTCCTGTCACGGTTAAGACGAGGTGATGCTAAACGAGAGAGACGGAGCAGCTTCCTCCGTACGGACAGACCAGTGACCTGTGGAAGTGATGTGGAGAGATTTGGGGGAAAGGGGCAAGAAAAACATCTCTGAGTTCCTCTTTATTGATGCTAAACGTTTCAAAATCACAATGTGGAACAATAAGTTTGGACAAGATCTTGCCGTTTTCCCTTTTTCCCCATTTCTGAGAAAGGAATGTGCGTAATTAGATGCTCAGAGGGCAGTGAACACCCTCTAATGGTCTGTAAACATCCTTCATAACGTGCTCCAGAAGATGCCAGAGAGCCGTACAGCATATTTCAACACAATAACTTTGCCTGGAGACCTAAATTATACGAATAAGCTACCGTATGTACTCAGGCTGAGTTGCAGGGGGTTTCTGGGCAACTGTCTGACCCCTTAACTGGGCAAATCTGGAAAAAAAAAAGTGTGAAAACTGAGAAAAATGAGAATACAAAAATACTTACTAATAAAACATCCAGGTTAAATCTCAATCAAAAATCAAAGAAAAATTTAGATTTTATATTTGTTGCTTTGTAGCCTTATTTCTTTTATGCAAAATATATATACATTTTGTGGAAAAATCTAGTTATTTAAAATAAAACTAAGTTTTTTATTCTCTTTCTTACAATAGAATTTTAACTGTATACTGTAATCAATTGTATTATTATTGTTTCCACACTGCAGTAATGAAAATTAGATGGTTTTTGCATTATTACTTTTAGTATATTATTATTAGTGCAAAATGACTAGAACCATTAAATGAGTTAAATATTAGGAAAAATACTCAAAATATTTATATTAAAAAATCAAAACTGATTATCAGTCTTTCTCTCTACAGATTTTACCATGAATAAATTTTAATAGTCCTAACAATAATCCAAATTTAATTTATTAAATGTTATCACTTTTTTATTACACCGGTGTGTATCTGGAGCTGAAGAACTCCGTGTGCCTTCACTGACCGATCACCTAGCACAGTTTAGTGATGAAATGCTGCAAAGCTCTTATAAAAGGATCGTGCGCAGCTGTCTGCTTCTCTGACAGCAAGAAGATGAGCAAATGCTGAAGTCTCAGAGGTTTCTCATGAGAATAAGACTCCAGTAATCTCATGCGAGTTTCTCAACAACCTCAACATGCTCCACGGTCATTTTTTAGCCCTATTCTCTTGCCCAAATGTGCTCATTTGGGTCTATTTGTATCTCTCCTGAAGACTTTAAGAAGAAACATCTGAGATGAAATTGATACCTTAATGAAATATAATTGAGAACTGCATTAAATCCCAGTTATAAACGAGCGACAGTCTGAGGAGTAAAACTGTGCTCTGGGAGAGCGGTGTGTGCGGTTTATTCTCCTAAATGAGCATCACTGAGCTGCTGGGAAGAAAAACACTCTTCCCGGAGCATCAGTATGCAGAGAACGCCTGAAGACACAAAGAATGAGCAGGAGAAAGGAATGAATGAGCAACCATTTGAATTCACAGACAAACTGAGTTAAGGGGAAAAAAACATCCAAATTAAAATCAATAATAAAGCGATTTTTACTTTTTCTTAAGAAAACGTGCTGATTCAGTGCTCCAATGGTGTTTCTAATGCATTCAGAATGTTTTTAGTGTTCTCTGTGGTTGCTAGGCTGTTCTGGGTGGTTGCTAGGATATTCTGGGTGATTGCCAGGGTGTTGCTATGTGGTTACTGATGTATTCAGAATGTTTTCAGTATTTTTTTTTTGTGGTTGCTATGGTGTTCTGCGTGGTTACTGCGATTTAGGTCTCATGAGTGACTTTTAATGCACTATGTGGCTGCAAGAGTGTTCTATGTGGTTGCTAGGTCATTACAGGGTGGTTGCTAGGCTATAGGGTATACAAATCATTGCAAAGCAACTTTACAGAAAATTAAAATTTCTTCTTCTATGGCATCGCTTGAAGAACCTTTTGAAGCACCTTTATTTTTAAGAGTGTACCAGGGTGATTATGTTGTTGCTAGGTTGTTCTAAGTTGTTAGAACGTTGCTAAGTGGTTGCCAGGGTGTTGCTATGCGGTTACTAATGCATTCAGAATGTTTTTAGTGTTCTCTGTGGTTTCTAGGCTGTTCTGGGTGGTTGCTAGGATATTCTGGGTGATTGGCAGGGTGTTGCTATGCAGTTACTGATGTATTCAGAATGTTTAGTGTTCTTTGTGGTTGCTAGGGTATTTTGGGTGACTGCCAGAGTGTTGTTATGCGGTTACTAATGCATTCAGAATGTTGTTCGTGTTCTTCGTGGTTGCTAGGGTATTTTGGGTGATTGCCAGGGTGTTGCTATGTGGTTTCTAATGCATTCAGAATGTTTTTAGTGTTCTCTGTGGTTGCTAGGTTATTCTGGGTGGTTGTCAGGACAATGTTATGTGATCACTAATGCATTCAGAATGGTTTTAGTGTTCTCTGTGGTTGCTAGGCTGTTCTGGGTGGTTGCTAGGATATTCTGGGTGATTGCCAGGGTGTTGCTATGTGGTTACTGATGTATTCAGAATGTTTTCAGTATTTTTTTTTTGTGGTTGCTATGGTGTTTTGCGTGGTTACTGCGATTTAGGTCTCATGAGTGACTTTTAATGCACTATGTGGCTGCAAGAGTGTTCTATGTGGTTGCTAGGTCATTACAGGGTGGTTGCTAGGCTATAGGGTATACAAATCATTGCAAAGCAACTTTACAGAAAATTAAAATTTGTACATTACATTTAGTAGTAGCTTATCAGTGCTATCCAGTTGCCATGGTGTTCTGCAATGTAGTTGCTAAAGTCTTAAGGGTGCTTTTTAATTAATTGTTATGTGGCAGCAAGATTGTTCTAGGTGGTTGCTAGGGCGTTGCTGGGTGGTTGCTAGGGTGGTCTTATAGGGTTCTGCTAAGAAACTTGTTAAGGTATTATTTATCGTGCTTTTGAAGTGTTGCTATGCAGTTGCTATGGTGTTTTGGGTGGTTACCAATGTGTTGCTATGCAGTTGCTAAGGTGATTTTTAATGCACATCTATGTGGCTGTGAGATTGTTCTATGTGGTTGCTAGGGTGATAGGGTAAAGTATTTTTTACTTTAAGAGTATTTTTTGAGTGTTGCTATGCAGTTGTTGGTTTCTAAGGTATTGTGGGTGGTTGCCAGGGCATTGCTATGCAATTACTAATGTTTTCAGAATGTTTTTAGTGTTCTAGGTGGTTGCTAGGATTTTCCAGAGTTTCACTAAGAAACTTGTTTAAGGTATTACTAAGAGTGTTGCTATGGCGTTTTGGATGGTTGCCAGGGTGTTGCTATGTGGTGGATAAGGTGTTCTGAATGTTTGTTCACTGTTTGTTTTTGTCTTAGCAAAATACAACAAAAAATACTGATATCTGTCTGTAAAAATAAAACTGAGTGCACTTTTCAAATACAATTTAAAAAAATTATTCCAATAGAAATGTGACTCCTTTTGACCAGTATCCCATGATCCTCTCTGGAGATTCATTCTGAGCCCCGTTTATTAAGCTCCTGAGAGGCTGGTGTGATCAGGGTGGTCTTTTGAGACGGAGCCAGAATGTTTCCTTTCTCTGGTGCCCTTCAGTTGAGAGAAAAAAAAACGCTTCACAGGCTGAACGAGTGCTGGGTGACGGTGTTATGCAATCCGCCGGTGCCCCGCTGAAGCCTCACGCTCTCAGTGTTTTGTGAATGGGAGCAAGAGGGAGGTGCAGGGGGGAGGAGTTGGACTTGGACCATCCAGGGCTGACTGACGGATTCCACGAAACCAGAAAACCCCCACATTAAAGAGCAAAACCTGAGAATATACAGGAAACTTGACACTGCCGGCTGCCCTGCAACGTCCTAATGAAAGGTGAGTTTTCTCCTGCTATTTTATGCTCCTTCATGCATATTCAATGTAATGCATTCTTGTGTGTGCATGACTTTTTTTTAGGTAAATGCACCTCTATAAATACATGTTTGCGTAGCTTTATCACTTTGATTCTAAAGAAAACCAGTTTGTACTGTCACAAATATTATTTTCACCTTCAAGACAATTTGACTTCTTTCCCTTTCTAAATAATTTAATGACAGTGTGGATCTGACTGCAGCATTGCCATAATACTCTGACAGTTTTCTACATTTTAGAGTAAAAGTAAACTCTACCAAAGACTCCAAACTAACACAAATGATAGCATAGGAAAGAAGTAATGAGCAAAACACGTGACACAAATAAAAACTCTTTTATATTTGAGCTTCATGTTTGTCCAGATTCCAGCTTTGCTCATTCAACTCGTGCATTTAAATACTATTGAAGGACGAATATGTATGATGAGATTTGTCTACAATTATAATTAAAACCATTTGATCATAATGTTTTACGATCATGAGAAACAACTTTTGAAGACGACTAAAAAGAATAACCAGTTGCCTGCAAAGCAACTTCATTAGTTCTAAATGTGCAATTAATTATTTTTGCTTTGTATAAAAAATGTGGTCAGAATGAATGCAACCTCCACTCATGATGAATTGCAGTGCTTCATGCACATGTCACATGTGTGATATAGAGTGTGTAGATGTTTTCAGCTATGCGGTTCATTCCTCTGGGATTTTTCCACTAGCATGTTCAGATTCCCAAACACCATTGCAACGCCTTATTCTGCTTGTATGATTGAACAAGAAGCCACAAAGTCACAAAATAAACTCATTCATTTCAATTTGTCAATTGTTAATCAAAATCCTGACAGCTGCACCCATTAAATAAATCTTTGCGAATCAGTTCAATAGTTACGAATCCAAATAATGAGCTGCCAAGCTGTAGGTCCTAAGTGACAGACGAGTGTGACATATGCACGCTCCTGTGGAGTTTGGCCCCACATTGACTGTGCTGTAATATGTGGTTTTGGATTATTTGAGGATCTTTCTGCCTGGACGTTCCAGCTTTATGTCAGCAAGTTGAGAGGTTTACTGAGCAGGCAGAGATTCTGGCAAACAGCAACTTTTGGCAAGATGCCATTTTTATTTGTCCTGCAAGTATCTACCTGCATTGAGAGCTTTTCTATTTCTGTCATTTCTCATCCTTCAAATCGTAATTTGCTGTCACAGATGGCCCATGTTAGTGCTCTTTGAAAGCGAGTTTGCTCTTTCATATCTAATGAGAATTTGAGAAATGTTTGCGTTCATATTAAGACACTTTTGATTGCAGGCTTATCTTGTCAAATTTGAGCACAGTTTGAGACATTTTGGAGATCTCCTTGAAACTCTAGAGATGATATTAGGAGAAACATCTCATAAGACGTAGGAGACTTCAGCTGGTCAGTTTGCTTCTACTTGGTGTCTGAAAGAAACAGTATTTTCTCATGGTATATTTGTTTGAGACATTTTGAGACATTATTTTGGTATCTTTGAGAAAGCTGAGCACAGTTTGAGATATTTTAGATCTTTTTGAAGCTAGAGATGATATGTGTGAGATTAGGAGGGATTTTCCCTCAGGAGAAACATAATAATAAGCATAATAAGGAGATCTATGTGCAAATTCTTTTGGTATTTTTGAGAAATCTGAGAATTGTTTGAGACATTTTTGAGATCTCTTTTGAAACTCAGGAAATGATATGTGAGATTAACAGGGTTTCCTTTCTCGTGAGAAAAACATCTGAAAAACAGGAGATCTAAGGAGGTCAGTTTGCATCTCATTGGTGTCTAGGAGAAACCGCAGAGATATTGGAGACCGTTGTGGAATTCTTCTCTCCTTTGGAATCTCTGAGAAATCTGAGAACTGTTTGAGATATTTTTAGATCTCTTTTGTAACTCTAGAGATGACATATAATGTTATCAGGTTGCTCTTGTAGGAGAAACATCTGAGAGGCAGGAGAATTCAGCAGGTCCGCTTGCATTCTGTTGTCTAGAAGAAACAGCTGAGATATTAAAGAGATCTTTGGGGAATTCTTAGAATCTCTGTGAAATTTGAGAACTTTTTGAGATATTTTAGAGCTCTTTTGTGACTCTAAAGATGATATATGTGACATTAGCAGGGTTTCCCCCCCTTTTTTCCCCGCAGGAGAATTCGGCATGTCCGTTTGCAGTCCACTGTCAAGGAGAAACAGTTGAGATATTAAAGAGATATTTGTGCAGTTCCTCTTTTCTTTTTGTATCTTTGAGAAATCTAAGGCAGTTTACGATCTCCTTTTGAAGCTCAGGATGTGATTTATATGAAGTTAGCAGAGTTTCTTTTCTCATGAGACACATCTGAGAAGCAGGAGACTTCAGCAGGTCAGTTTGCATCTCATTGGTGTCTAGGAGAAACAGCTGAGACATTAAAGAGATCCATATGCAATTACTCTCTTCTCCTCATTTGTGAGACATAATTTGGTATCTCTGATCAATCTGAGCAGAGTTTGAGACATTTTTTAGATCTATTTTGAAACTCAGGAAATTGTAAATGTGAGATCAGGAGGGTTTTTGTCCTCAGGAGAAACATCTAAGCAGGAAATCTCAGCAGGTCAGTTTGCGTCTCATTGGTGTCTAGGAGAAACAGCTGAGACATTAAAAAGATCTATGTGCACTTGCTCTTTTCTTTTTTTGTATCTCTGATAAATCTGAGCGGAGTTTGAGACATTTTGAGACCTATTTTGAAACACAGGAAATGATATATGTGAGATTAGCAGGGGTTTTTTTTCCTCAAAAGAAACATCTGAGAAGTTGGAGACTTAAGCAGGTCAGTTTGCATCTGACTGGTGTCTAGGAGAAACAGTTGTGATAATAACGAGATCTATATGTAGTTCCTCTTTTCTTTTGGTATCTTTGAGAAATCTGGGGAAGACATTTTGAGATCTCCTTCGAAACTCCAGACATGATATGTGAGATTTTCTCAGGAGAAACTTCTGAGAAGCAGGGGACTTTAGCTACTCCATTTGCTCTCCATTTAAGCTCATATGTTTTATTAAAGGGGTCATATGATGTTGCTAAAAAGAACATTATTTTGTGTATCTGGTGTAATGAAATGTGTTTATGCAGTTTAAGGTTCAAAAAACACATTATTTTTCACATACTGTACATTATTGTTTCTCCTCTATGCCCCGCCTTCTGAAACATGTCGATTTTTACAAAGCTCATCGGTCTGAAAAGCGAGGTGTGCTGTGATTGGCCAGCTATCCAGTGCGTTGTGATTGGCCGAATACCTCAAGCGTGTGTTCGGAAATGTTACGCCCCTCACATACTGTGATGCCCTGTCCGAGCGATGAGGCAATACCAATAAAACCCATTATAAATTAGGCATTTGTTGCATCCAGTGGGGACATAATTACGGATTATAATGACTTATACTGTCTTTTGACGCATTGCATCACGCCGCGTAAACATAAAACCCTGTCTGTATTTGTGATTGAAGAAATGACAAACAACAAGTGCTACTCTACACTGCTCAAAACTCGCGTTTGAATCATCAGTGGCAAATCCTTTAAATATGAAAACGTACTTACAGTCTGTGAGTCAGAACATTGTAGGCTACTCTGCAGGTTCAGGAAACAGTCCTCATCCTCCGCAAAATGCGCTGCACACATCTGAATATTTGGGTTGAACTGTTCTGGAACAGTGTTGTAATTACAACTTAACCACTGATTTCTAGTCGTGTACTCTTTTGAAAGACCAAACAAAGTATTTTCGCTTTCGCAGCGAAACACACAGTGTCTTCACAACATGGCTATGGTGGCAGCAACAATAAAGTTACACCTTCTTTCTTTGCGTGAACATTTGGGCGGCTTTATGCAAATCTTCCCACATCGTGATGCAGACATGTGGGGGCGTGTTAGAACGAGCCGTTTTAGGTAGGTGTGGCTGACTCTTAACTTTTATAAAGAATATCTCTTTGGTTTTGAGACTTTAGTCTTTGCAACTTCAGGGATCTTATCTATTCACGAACAGCTTGTAACACTCCAAAGAGAAAGGAAAACTTGAAATCGCATCATATGACCCCTTTAAGGAGGTACTATCTTTTTTTCTAGTGAGAACAGTCTGAGAAGCAGAAGACTCAAGTAGAAAATATCTTTGGTGACATGGATAAATAATTGAGATACTAAAGAGATGCACAGTTTTTTCCCCTAGCATAATTACCTGACTTTTAAATGAGTTTGGTATCATAGGCAAATCGTAGCACAGATTGAGATGCTTTTGAGATCCATTCTGAAAGACTTGAGATCACACAAAGAGCACATTCTGAGAAGCAGAAACTCCATTTGCTCTCCATCTAATATTACTGTTGTCTGGGAGAAACGACTGAGATGATAATAATGAGATCTCTTTTGTGATTTTTCATTCCTGCGGGCAAACAGCACACAGAAGCTCAGCTCTATAGGACTTACCTATGATCTCATTTCTGGCCTTGTGAAAACTGCAGTAAACTGTGATCAAACCGCCTCGCTCTGAGGTCATCTTCCAAACCAATGGCCTTCAAACCCAGAAGTCTGTTCTACCTCATGGTGCCAGCTCTTCATTCCTTCAGGTGTCTTGTTAATACAAGAGTCTATTTTTACCAGCCTGGTAATGCTTTTCACTGACAACTGTGACAGTAGAGGCGCTGTGCTGTTTCTGCACAAGAGAAAGAGCACATTCTCAAGGCCTCTGGCTCTGCGGGACATCCACTATGCTTGTTGTTTGAAACCTCAAGTATGTGGAACAGACGTCTGTCCCTCGAGGGACGGCGACAGGGAGACCTCTTAACCCTGGACCCCTGGAGCCTTGAAGCAGGTTTTGACCCAACACCAGAGTTGTTTATGGTACAAAATTCAGTGAAAATGTGAAAAAAATCAAACACTGAAATTAGGGCTGTGGAAAAAAAATCAATGCATCGCGAATCGAGAAATGATTCTGCATCCATTCTGAGATTTTCCAAATGCTTCGTGATTCTCTCTCAAATTTTTCGCTGCAGATGGGACTACATGCTTTAGAAACAGCCGTACTCTTGCTTCCAGTTCCTTACACACACTTCAACCTAAAATAATCATTCATAAAGTTCGAAATGTTTAAAGTGAATTACAAGGGTGTTCACAGTGAGCTGTGTTTACATTAATCGTGTGGCATTCTGAGCCGAGGTGTAATTGCATGACTTAGCCGGACACACAAGCTCTTTTCTTCATGAGCATTTGAGTGTGAAGTTAAAAACTAGATTACAGTGCCATCTGCTGGTAAAAACTAAGCTCAGAATCAATCCATGAATCGCGGATGCATCAATTTATCATCACAGCCCTGACTGAAATGTATTTACAACAAAAATAATAATAAGTCCCTTGTTTTCTTAAAAACAATTAAGGTTATAGGAAGTCATTGGCCGGGTTTCCATCCAAAGTTGCGAATTTAACTTGTGTGCAAAATTGCAATGTCGCATAAAACATTTGCAAATAAGCACAGTTTCCATCCAACAAATCAAAGAGAACAAAATCGTCACTTCCTGATAAACTGGATATTATGTGCCACCGCTGCTATCCGCCATCTTGTCCGAAAGCTCCTAGAAAATCTACGGAGCCCCACACATGACATGCAAAAAATAAATAGTTAATTGTGCGCACTATTTACTAATTCATTCTCTCGATTTAGAAATCATGTGCACGATTTAGCAAATCAAGGGAATGAATTAGTAAATCGTGCGCACAATTCATAAATCGAGGGAACGAATTAGTTTAGCCTACCATTTTTTTTCCTGCATGCCATGTGCGGGGCTCCGTAGAAATCCATGTTAAAACAGGGTAAAAAAGATTGACTGAATTGAAACTTTTCAATATAACTAAATATAAAAATGTGCGCAGGGTTAAGCTGTGCTGTTGTTGGCTGCCACAGTAACGGCAATAAGCTAAGGAATTTCTTTAAAGTACTTGTTTTGTGTACCAGAAAATCTGTCATGTCCGACGCTGTATGCTTGGCTTGCAGCACTTAAGTAAAAATACTGAGTGTTAAATAATAAAATAATATGTTCAAACGTGTGCGCTTATCATTCTGTGGACAAAATTCTGTGAAATTCGCCCCAATCGGGAGCTTTATATGCATATGTGCGCTCATCTGTTTTCAATGCAGCTAACCTCGCGTCGCTTCATGTCATCTTCCCACGCATTAAACTATGACAGATCCCTGCAAAAAGACGGTCATTGCAACACTGTAAAGTGATGAAACTAGACGCCATGTGCTTTTTAAAACCATTTTCATAGGTTTCACGTTATACTGTCGGCTCTGAAAATATGTAAATGTAGCTAGAAACACCAGAGACCGGAAATGTAAAGCACCGTACCAGTCGGGCGATACGTCCGTGTTCAGAAAAAGGTGGTTAGATTGTGTTTTATTAAAGGGGTTACGATCTGTGCTGGTCGCTGAGGGAATACTACAACTTCGTGCTGTGGATCACCGGATCGGCTTTCACCGTGGACGAAGCAGTGTCCAGCCCAGGTTCGTCACATGTGGTTGCCGCAAGCCTGCCGAACGCTCCTTCGTCGAATCCGCCGGCCTCCGCTCACTCTAGGCATCACAGTATGGTGAGGGGCGTAACATTTCCATCACACACTTGAGGTATTCGGCCAATCACAACGCACTGGATAGCTGGCCAATCAGAGCACACCTCGCTTTTCAGACCGATGAGCTTTGTAAAAATCAACGCATTTCAGAAAGGCGGGGCATAGAGGAGAAACAATAATGTACAGTATGTGGAAAAAAATGTGTTTTTTTTACCTTAAACTGCATAAACACATTTCATTACACCAAATACACAAAATAATGTTCTTTTTAGCAGCATCATATGACCCCTTTAACGTCTACCCCAACCCTAAACAATAATGAAAAAAACAGTAATTGTTGTACAGTGTGACAAAAATTACGCTATATTGATGTGCGCATGCCCAGTAGCCGCAGCTGTAGTCCTTCTATCCTTAACCACAAATCAGACAGGACAGTAGATTAACTTCGGTGGACTTAAACTTGAAAAAATGGTGTTCCGCGGTTGAAATAAAATGCTTTCTGATGTTTATTCATGTTTATTTTGTGCTTTAAGTACATTTGAAAAGACGATCGGTTCACGTGTGTGCTGCTTGAACTGAGGCACTACAGCTATCTGTCACGACATATTAAAGAGCCACAAAACAGTATTTATTGTTTGAATTTCTTCAAAAATGACAAAATTTGAAAGATGAGAGTCCTGAGACCTTTTTTCATATCAGAAGTAACCTGCTCTGTCTTGTCTGTCGGCACGTTGTCCGTTTTCTCTTTACTCTGCGATGTATTTTTCACTGCGTGAGAACATGATTTGTAGTGTGAGAGCGGCATTGTTTGTCGGGGATAGCAACAGTAACAAAGGGTGGGTGGGTCTTTGCGAAAGGTCAATTATACAGAAATACTTTGACGATAGACTTTGCTCAGGCATTTAAGAATGGCCATAAAAACATTTCAGTTGCTGTAGATGCGGCAAATATGTTTCCATGTCCCATTATTCGCATTAACGCTTTTTCGCACAAGTCTAAAACCACCTCAAGCGAGCATAAAACTTTTTTTCTCTCTAAATTTGGCATTTCCATCACTCGTTTCTGATGCGATACTTCAAAATGCTCATTAAAAAAGGGCGTTGGAAACATAGCTAATGAGGCAATTAACTCTTTCCCTGCCATTGATTAAATTGTCTGGCTTTCCGTGTTTTCACTGTTTTATGGTAGGAGGTGCTATTACACTTTTTCTGAAAGAGTACAGAATCTCCGGATTGAAACATGGTGAAGAAGAAGCAGAAACAAGTGATCGCATATGTAAGCAGATGCATATGAAAAATAACTCGATCATTAAGCATTAAACGGCATGTAAATAAAAAATGCTGGCGGCGACTGGCAACTTTGAAAAAAAAAATGCTGGTGGAAAAAGGGTTAAACGTTGACAGAAACGTTTTTTTTTTTTTTTGGTGAACTATTCCTTTAATGTCTTGGACTTGGTCTTGATTGTGACGGGGCCAAAATTTCAGCAAAAATGTACAGTCCTGGATGCCTATTGTTTATAGTTTGTTGCTATGCAGTTGCTAGGGTGTTGCTATGTGGATGCTAAGGTGAGTGTTTTAACATGTTGCTATGCAGTTGTTAGGGTGTTGCTATGTGGTAGCTAACTTGTCTTGAGTGATTTTTAACATGCTGCTATGTAGTTTTTTGTACAGTAAGTGTTGCTACGCAGTTGGTATGTGGTTGCTAAGTTTTTAATATGATGCTATATAACATTTTGCTATGCAGTTGTAAAAGCATTTTAAGTGTTTTATTGCATATTGCTATGCAGTTGCTAGGACGTTGCTATGTGGTTGCTAAAATATTCTGAGTGTTAACATATTGCTGTATAGTTGCAAAAGCAGTCAGTGTGTTTTTAGAGAGTTGCAATGCAGTTGCTAGGGCATTGCTATGTAGTTGCTAAGGAGTCCTGAGTGTTTTTAACATGTTGCTAGGGCGTTGCTATGTGGTTGCTAAGGTAGCCTGAGTGTTAACATATTGCTATACTGTTGCAAAAGCAGACATGTGTTTTTTGAGTGTTGCTATGCAGTTGCTAGGGCATTGCAGTCTGGTTGCTAAGGAGTCCTGAGTGTCTTTAACATGTTGCTATGCAGTGGCAAAAGCATTCTAGAGTAAGTGTTTTGTCGCATGGTGCTATGCAGATGCTAGGGCATTGCTATGTTAGTTGTTAAGGATTGCTGAGTGTTTTTAACATGTTGCTATGCAGTTGTTGTTTTTTTCTTTTTTGCTAGAGCATTGCTATGTGGTTGCTGAGGAGTGCAGAGTGTTTTTAAACATGTTGCTATGCAGTTGCAAAAGCATTCTATGTGTTTTGATTGTGTTGCAATGCAGTAGCTAGAGCATTATAGTGTTCCAAGTGTTATTTAACATGGTGCTATGTGGTTGCAAAAGCAATTGTTTTTTGTTGTGTGTGTGTGTGTGTGTGTGTGTGTGTGTGTGTGTGTGTTGCTATGCCGTTGCTTTTTTTTTTTTGCATGTTTCTATATGGTTGTTAGGGTATTGTGATAAGAAGAAACTAAGATGTTCCATGTGTTTTTTTAAGTTTAGTGAAGCACATCAACCCTTTATATCCCTGTGAGTTTTTCACATGCTGTTTTTGCTGTCTGTTTTGTAATAAATCATAACAGATCAGTTGCTGTGTGGCTTCTGAATGCAACGGTTACAAACGTCATGACAAAACATGCAATAAAATGGCAGGAATTGAGTGGGTCCACTGCATTCACACAAACATACAGTCTTCTGCTGGCTTTTGTGCTCAGACTGGTTTACGAGCTGCATTTATGAAAGGATCTGGTCTGAATGGGTGTGTCCATGTTTCATATCTTCACGTTTTACGAGAAAAAAAAAGTTCTGTTTCAGTGTGAATGAAAACACTTTGTTTCTCTAGCTGTCTTTTGATTGGGAGACCTTAATTTAAAAGATTTCATTAAATTAATTACACAGTATATTGATTAATTAACCAAAATAACCACATAGGATTCAGTGAGTGCTACTATTGACCGAACAGCAGTCATCAAATTCATCATCATTCATCAAACAGGAGAGAAAGAGATCACGACCAAGATGGACCCTTCTAACGGGCTGAACCGGCCGCTGGAGATTGTCCCGCACACAGAGGTGAAAATGAAGGACAGAGGACAGTGGAGCAACAAGCTGGAGTTTGTCCTGTCGGTGGCCGGAGAGATCATTGGACTGGGAAACGTGTGGCGCTTCCCGTATCTCTGCTACAAGAACGGTGGAGGTGAGGAGATGCAGAAGTACCATGATACATACGTGGTACTGACCATTGTACATGTCCAAAACACGATATTACTATGATACCATGTTCAAAAAGCCATGTTATACCATGGTACATCTCCTAAAAAACATGGTATTACAATGGTAAATCACAGTTTAACTTACCATGAACATGTCCATAAACCTCCATTACAAAAATGCACCAAAAAGTACCATAGTGCTACCATGGTATTTTGGACATGTACCATGGTATTCTGGAAAATGAACTGGTACATGAACTGGTACCATGGTATATATTAAAGTAACATTGTAATATCATTTGATGCCATTACTGTCCCATGATACTTGGCCCAAGAAAACATGGTATAACTGTAACATGTGCATGTATTTTACCATGTTACATATCAGAAAACTAAGTATTATCATGGTACATTTCCAAATGCATGAGATTACCATGATGCATGTACAAAAATGTGGTATGACCATGGTGCATGTTCAAAAAATATAATATTACCATGGTACATGAACAAAAGCATGGCATTACCATGGTACATGTCCCAACAATACGGTATTGAACGGTATTGCATACCACAGTATCACCAGAATAAATGTCCAAAAAACATGCATATGTCCAAAAATCACAGTATTAGTATGGTACATGCTCAAAAATATGCAATTCCTTAGTTTATGTTAATACATGTATATATGTGTGTGTGTATGGTATTACCATGGTACATGTTTAAATAAAAAAAAAAGGTTTTATCATGGTGCATGTCCAAAAAATATACTATTACCATAGTACATGCACAACAGCATGGCTTTGCCATGGTACATGTCCCAAAAATATGGTATTACTAGATCCTTAAACCAGGCGCTATTTGCGCTGCTCTTGGTAGATTACGCTGGTCATTATAGAAATGATCTGGCTGTGTCGGTGTTCTTTAATGTGCACATTGTTAGTAAATAAAAATTGTTAGTATGTCCAAAAAACAAAGTATTGGTATGGTACAAGCCCAAAACTAGACAATTTCCTTAGTTTATGTTAAAAAAATGGCATTACCATGGTACGTCCAAAAAAAAAAGTGTAATCATGGAACATGTCCAAATGCATGGGATTACCATGGTACATATGCAAAATATGGTATTTACATGGTACATGTCTAAAAATAGGGCATTACATCTAGAAAAACCAAAAGTATTATCATGGTACATGTTCATAATATTACCATGATACGTGTACAAAAGCATGACATTATCATGGTACATATCCCGACAATATGGTATTACCAGAGTAAATGTCCAAAAAAATGGTATATGTCAAAAAAAAAAACAGTATTAATATGGTACATTCTCAAAAATATACAATTTCCTTAGTTTATGTTCAAAAAATAGTACATGCCCCCCCAAAAAAACTAAGTATGATCATGGTACATGTCCAAACAGGTTTAATCAGTTAAAGTGTTGTTAAAAGGTTGGTCTCAGCAGTGCTCATCTGGGGTAACGTGCCTCCGTCAGCACACTACACTACTGCAGGTAAACCAGCGAGCCAACATCAGTCCAGTGCTAGTGCAGCACAAAGAGCAGACTCATTAACACACGGCTAGTTAACATCCCTGCGGGGGAAAGAGCAGAGAGAGAATGCGGGACGTGTCTGGACACTTTCCCTCACGGAGGGCTGCGCTCGAGTTCATTTAGATCCAGAGCTGGCTGTGATCAGGATATTTAATGTAAAATAGTTTAGAGCAGGGGTTTCCAAACTATTAGATGCCACAGATGCCAAATATGATCATCCTCATGCGAGGGACCCCACATCCAAACATTTAAAAAGCAATTATATATTTTCATATATAAAGACCCAATTAACACTGTGAGAAGTTTATATTATAAATATGTGTAAAATGTAATTTGTAAAATATTTAAAGGGGTCCTATTATGCTTTTTCACTTTTTCAACTTTAGTTAGTCTGTAATGTAGCTGTTTGAGCATAAAAAAGATCTGCAAAGTTACCAAGCTCAAACTTCAAAAGGAGATGTTTTATTTAACAGAAATCACTTTTCAAAAACTACAACGAACGACTCGTTTGGACTGCAACGCATATTTTCCGGGATTTGTGATATCACAAATACTGACGAATGGGACGAGACCTGGTTGAGCTGCACTAGAGAAGGCAACGAGTGTTATCACTGTGTCAGAGACACGCTAGCTTTCCCAAGGCAGACAAACTTAGAGTGATTGTGCTTACAATCATCCGCAATATTTACACTGAAGCTCGCAGGCGGCTATGGTAAGAGGTATGACATTTCTAGACCAGGCGCCGAGTGCTGAACTGTTCTGTCTTTGGCTGCACAGACGAGCACAGAACACTATTTAGATCTAAAAGCATGCGATTTATTTCCCAGCTATTTACCTTCAACTGACTGTTTTTGTAACTCGTGTGTTTTTCTCGTGTGTGCATGAGAACTTAGTTTAGAACTCATGCTGTGACAGCCGCTTTCTGTGCGTGTGCTTCGGATGTGTGCGCTCAGAAAACGTACATCAGAAGTTTAAACTCATATGGTTTAAGCCGCATGATTTCAGCATGATAAACATGATAATCAGTACCATAACAGAAGTTTTTAGCAGGTCCGAGCTGCAATGGTGCTCTATTCTGGAAAAGGGGGCGGGGAGCAGCAGCTCATTTGCATTTAAAGAGACAGGCCCGAAAAACGTCCACTCAAAATAGGCATTTTCAAAATGATATAGTAAATGATCTGTGGAGTATTTTGAGCTGAAACTTCACAGACACAGTTTGGGGACACCAGAGACTTATATTACATATTGTAAAAAGGGGCATAATATGTCTCCTTTAATGTAATCAAATGTATTTATTTATATAGTTATTATTTTCATCTTATTAAATTTTTTTAAACATTGTTTTTCTCTAAACATTTCCACATAGCCCCCTAGCACTCCCTTGCGGCCCCCAGTTTGTAAACCCTTGGTTTAGAGGATCCAACTGGGCAGTGAAAGTTGAGGATTTGATAAGCATCGCCACAGAAACCCGAATGTGTATAGCGTTTGCCAGGTGTTTGTGAAACTGACCCATTGATCCAGCAATTGGCCTTATGAAAGCGTTACCAGTTCAGAAGGTGAAAGGTCACAGCTGTTATTTGATCAACCCGTAGCGTGTGTCCATACAGAGACGTTTGGGCCTTTGGAAACATTTCTTACGTTTGCTGAAGTCTGCAGCTTCTCAGATGTTGAAACAGACCTCAGTAATCTCACACATTTCTCCCCTAGAGTTTCAAACTGTGCTCAGATTGTCCTTCAGGAGAAACTGTATGATTTACGTCTTTATCCTCCTCCAGGTGCATTTTTCATCCCCTACCTGATCTTCCTCTTCACCTGCGGTATTCCCGTGTTTTTCCTGGAGATTTCTCTGGGTCAGTACACCAGCGAGGGAGGAATCACATGCTGGAGGAAGATCAGCCCGCTGTTTGAAGGTGAAGCAACAAGATGTTGGTTCCGTATGTAGCATGAGCAACTGCAAACCATTTCAGTATGACATGAGCAGTTTGTTTGTTATATAAATGCACAGGAACCATCTGTAGAGTAGAGAGGGTATAAAAATGATTTGTTCTTTAAAACAATAAAGGCATAAATCACTCTTTTTTTACTGCAAGATACACCGATTTTTCGAAGCTGTAAATAAAACAAAGATTGGTACATTTTAAATACAATTTCAGTTTTTCTATTTCGTAGAAAATTTCGTGTTTAATTCAGTGTTGCTATTATTATTTGTGAAATAATAACAGAAATAGTGATTTTTGACCTGTTCGGGTCTTTTCAATAAAAATCGTACAACAATATTGTTTTGACATAATGTTCAATTAATATATATTTAATTTATTTATAAAATAATCTGAATACCCCAAAATGTTATATTTGGCGAAATCAGTGTTATTTTAATATTGTTTATGTAGTATTTATGAATATTTTGAAATTGCTTTCATTTTTAAATTTTCAATTTTCAATCAAATTTTTGTTATGTGCTTTTGTCATTTTTATTAGGGGGACACTTTTTAATATTTCTATATAGCTTTAATTTATTTGTATTCATTTGTATTTATTTTTTGGTACTTGTGATACTTAAACTTATTGATTTTGGTTAGTTGCCAAGGCAACATGTCTAATTTTTAAGATTAGTTAAACATTTTTAGTTAAAACGTTACAATTTTTGTTCTAACATTTGTTATGGTATTTTAGTTTTACCGAATTTCCATTTTAAATATATATATATTTTTTAGTTTACAAGAACAACAGACTTCTGTTCTATTTATAAATGAATGAATGAATGGATAAATAAATAAAATTGTGGTAATCATGAAGTGACGTCATTTGGACCTTTTCTACAGCCTGATGGGAAGTGAAATATAGGATGGCATTTCATTTTCTCAGTTTTGACACAAGCTGTGTTGTTATTGGGTCTGTCTTTAACTGCAGGTATCGGTTACGCCACTCAGGTCATCGTGGCTCTGCTCAACTTCTACTATATAATAGTTTTGGCCTGGGGAATATTTTACCTGTCCTTCTCCTTCTCCTGGAACCTGCCGTGGGCCTCCTGCAACAACACCTGGAACACAGGTGAGGTTAACGTCAATTCAGTCCACAAACCTGTAGCTTTATGTGGTTAGTTTAAACATCTCTTCTGCATTATCATTGGTGCATCAGGCTCAATAGTTTTGACTGTATATATAATCCAGAGATTCCTGTTGTTTTTCAGATGCCTGCGTGGAATTCCAAAGACAAAATGAATCCATTGACCAAAGTTACCTTGAAAACGCAACATCGCCCGTAATTGAGTTTTGGGAGTAAGTTTCGCTATATCTTCCTGTCAGTTTTCTGCATTTTTTTTGCTCGAAATAAACCTACAAGCTTCTTTAACTTTTAGTTCAAGATAAATCAAGCATAAACCTCAATTGAAAAGCAACATATCCGACCTCTCGAAGATAAAACCCTACGTTTATGCCACATTATTTCCTTAAAGGTCTCCAACTAACCATGTGCACGTGGTTTGAAGAAGGCTGCAGCTGATGTGTCATTTCTGTCTCTCTGTAGACGCAGAGTTTTGCGGATCTCGTCTGGGATTGAGGAGATGGGAACGCTGCACTGGGATCTGGTCCTCTGTCTGTTGTTGGCCTGGGTTCTCTGCTATTTCTGCATCTGGAAAGGCGTCAAATCCACCGGCAAGGTACGTGAGTTAAGACCTGTTGATTTCGTTCTAGTTTTAGTTCATTTGAATTTTTCAGCAGATTCAAGTAACGCTTTCAAAAAGTGTTTCAAAAAAATGCACCAGGTAAATTTGCATTTAGTAGTGATCATGCAAATGCTATAATTAATATAAATGAAAACATATTTTAATTCATTAGAATTATTTTATAATATTATAATTTTCACATTTGTTACCCTGGACCACAAAGCAGTCATAAGGGTCATTTTTTTAAAATTGAGATTTATACAACATCTGAGAGCTGAATAGATAATCTTTCCATTGATGTGTGGTTTGTTAGGATCGGACAATATTTGGCCGAGATACAACTATTTGACAATCTGGAATCTGAGGGTGCAAAATAATCGAAATATTGTGAAAATCAGCTTTAAAGCTGTTCGAATGAAGTTCTTAGCAATGCATATTAATAATCAAAAATTAAGTTTTGATATATTTACAGTAGGAACATGATCTTTACTTAATATCCTAATGATTTTTAGCGATAATTCGATCATTTTTGACCCATGCAATGTATTGTTGGCTATTGCTACAAATATAACCGTGCTACTTATGACTGCTTTTGTGCTCCAGGGTCACATTTTTCAAATATGTTTAAATCATTTTTGTCTTTTTATATTTTATTATTAAATTTTTTTCCCCTATTTTTGAATAGATATTGTGTACATTTTTTGTGTTTGTCTTTACTCTTATTAAACAGAGTTGTTTAAAAAATAATTGTTTAAATTATTTTAAATGTGATTTTTTTTAATATATATATTGTGTTAAATTTTGTGTACATTTTATTTGCTGATAAATATCCAAACATATGTTATCCTTTAGCTTCACGCTGTTTTCCTGTCACTCAACAGGTGGTGTACGTCACTGCGACCTTCCCGTATGTGATGCTGTTGATTTTACTGATCAGAGGGGTCACGCTGCCGGGAGCGTCCCGTGGGATCCAGTTCTATCTTTATCCTGACTTGGGACGGTTAGCGGACCCGCAGGTATCATAATTAGCTTTTCATCTACTGCAGTTCTGACTTGAAAATTATTCTTGTCATGACTAGAAAGGGACATTCTGAACTAGCAAAAATAATTTAGTTTCAGTAATTCCTCTGGACACTAGCGAACTGTTTTCTCTTAAAAACGCCCTGTCTTGAGTCGAAAGGTCACGTGATTTGTCTACCCAGGTGCTTTAGTCGAGGCCCGGAGCAGGATGCCCAGCAGGGAAACATTGTTTTCTGTACTTCTTTGATAGTGTCCATCTGTGCGTTTGACCTTTGATCCGACTTTCACATCTGTGTCACTAGAAGAGCCCACAAACCCACGTGATATCTGAGAACAGGCCACGGCACGGCCACCCAGATACATCCCAGCATTCCTTAACATCAGAACAGCTTAAAACCTCTTCTGGTAAATCTCTGTCTAGCGACAAAAGCATTTTTTGTTGTATTTGAGAGATAGCATTGGTTGTGTTCGCATGGTTTCATCTTAGGAGTATTAAAGTGAGGCCAGTTCAAAAATAATCGAATGGGTTTACATGAACAGCTAGTCAAAGTTTGGCATTTTTGGTTGGATTTGAGAGAGAACATTAGTTGTGTTGACGTTATTTCATCTTCGCAGTATAAAAATGAGGCCAATTCAATAAAATCTTTGGGTTTAGGCAAACAGTTAGACGAAGTTTGGTATTTTTGGTTAGATTTGAGAAAGGGCATTGGTTGTGTTGATGTTGTTTCACTTTAGAAGCATTAAAATGAAGCCAGTTCAACTAAATCTTATGGGTTTACATGAGAAGCTGGACCAAGTTTGGTATTTTTGGTTGATTTTGAGAGATGACATTGATTTTATTCACATTCTTTTATCTTAGAAGTATAAAAATGAGGCCAATTCAACAAAACCGTAAGGGTTTACATAAACAGGTAGGCAAAGTTTGGCATTTTTGGTTGGATCTGACAGATGGCATTGGTTGGGTTGATATTGATTTATCTTTTGAGTATAAAAATGAGGCCAATTCAATTAAATCTTAGGGTTTAGGCAAACAGTTAGACGAAATTTGGTATATTTATTTGGTATTTTTGGTTAGATTTGAGAAATGGCATTGGTTGTGTTGATGTTGTTTCACCTTAGAAGTATAAAAATTAGGCCAATTCGACAAAATCATATGGGTTTTGCAAACAGCCAGGCCAAGTTTGGCAATTAAGATTGGATTTAATAGAAATAATTGGCTATGTTGACTTTTTCATCTTAGAAGATTCAACAACATCTTATGGGTTTAAGCAGACAAGTATACACCTTTGGCATTTTTGGTTGTATTTCAGAGATAACATTGGCTGTGTTGACGTTTCATCTTAGAAGTATATAAATGAGGCCAATTCAACTAAATATAATGGGTTTACGTGAACAGCTAGACAAAGTTTGGCACTTTTGGTTATATTTAAGAAATGGCATTGGTTGTGTTGATGTTGTTTCATCCTTGAAGTTTCAAAATGAGGCCAATTCAACAAAATCTTAAGGGTTTACATGAACAGGTAAACAAATTTAGGCATTTTTGGTTGGATTTGAGCAATAGCGATTGCTGTTTTTTCATCTCTTGATCTTAGATGTAAAAACAAAGCCAAAATCATCAGATAACAAGGTAAACAGTTTGACAAGATTGGTCAAATGAGTGATCGAAGACAGTTTCTATAAAAAGCAACATAAATTGACATTCATAACCCATTTTAATTCTTTAAAGGTTGGATTTGTGAGATAATGGCTACTGTTTTGACATCTCTTGGTCTTAAATGTATACAAATGCCAAAATAAATGAAAATTTTGTTAGAAAAGCAAAGAGTTGGCCAAGGTTAACTGTTGATCTAAGACTTCCAAAACTTGAGTATCATAGGTCAAACTGTTAAGTGGTGTTCATAAGCCATTTTAATTCTGTAAAGTGTTGTAGGGTTTTCAACAATATTTCATGTTAACTTCAACCTCAAAGAAAGAAGCATAATAAGTCTCTTTTTTGGTCAATATGGACATTTTGGTTGAATGTGAGAGATATCCATTGCTGTGTTGAGGGACTGTCTGTGGCTCTGTCTGTCTGTCTGTCTCTCTGACTGTCTGTGTCTCTGTATGTCTGACCGTCTCTCTGACTGTCTGTCAATCTGTCTCACTGACTGTCTGTCTGTCTGTCTGACTGTCTGTGTCTCTGTCTGTCTGTCTCACTGTCTGTCTGTCTGTCTGACTGTCTGTCTGTGAGTCTCTCTGACTGTCTGTGGCTCTGTCTGTCTGTCTGTCTCTCTGACTGTCTGTGTCTCTGTATGTCTGTCTGTCTCTCTGACTGTCTGTCAATCTGTCTGTCTGTCTGTCTGACTGTCTCTCTGTCTGTCTGTCTGTCAGGGTGGAATGTATGTCTTCCAGCTGTTTGATTACTACGCAGCCAGTGGGATGTGTTTGCTATTCGTAGCTGTTTTTGAGACCGTCTGCATCGCTTGGATATACGGTGAGACTCCTGTTATATTGCCGTGCTGTTTAGAGCCTGTGCATTTGGTGCAGGAAGCAAGAAAATGCCAGTTTTAAAATATGATTTCAATTAAATTACATAAATGCTCAAATATTTAATTTGCAAGGCAGCTAATTAGGTTTTGAAACAGTACTAATCTGTTATCTGGCACATTTTGTTTGGTCATTTCCTTGCTTTTCTTTGTTGCTTCTCAGGTGCTAATCGGTTTTATGACAATATTGAGGACATGATTGGTTACTGGGGTGCTGTGTGTACATTAATGGGGAAAACAATTTTACTTAAATGATTTTAGCAAATGGCTGCAATATAACAAAGAGTGAAAAATTTAAGGGGGTCTGAATACTTTCCGTACCCACTGTATATATACAAATATATATAAAATTATAACAAATTAAGTTAAACTCAAGGGTGGTTAATCAGTCAAGTAATTTAATGCATTTTAAGGCTCTAAATGACTAAATTATAGACTTAAAGATTAAAATCAAATTTTCAAATCATTTTTAAATGCCACAGAACTTAGAGCAACTTTTGTGAGGTTAATTTAAAGATGCATTAAGTACCAAGTTCTTGGGCTTTATAGTGACATCTACTGGTGTGGATGCATCACGATGCAACAGCAGAAGACTTTGGTTGCTGATGCATTTGTAGAAACTCTCCCTTTCTAAAGATTTGAATTCACTTTAGTTTTACGATCAACCGCTCTAATCTGATTTCCTCTGCTGCTTGTCTTAACAGGGTACGTTTGCGTTCTCCCTGATCAAATACACTCCTCTGAAGTATAATAACGAGTATGTGTACCCGTGGTGGGGTTACGCTCTCGGCTGGCTGCTGGCGCTCTCCTCTATGATTTGCATCCCGCTGTGGGTTGTTTCTAAAGTGAGCATGGCCAAAGGTTCACTGAGAGAGGTGAGTCTGACGTAACAGAAGAAATAGCATGCTGAAATACGGCTCTTATCATTTCTGCAGTATTTAGCTTGTATAACATGTGCAGTATGCATATCCTTCTTGATTTACAATTTGATTACACTGGCAAAAGTTACACAAAATTATATAAAAAATACAAATATATATATATAAATATATGTAAATATTTTCATTATTTGTATGTGTATATAATAATATTTTAAATATGTATATTTAAATATTTATAACTAAAATATTATTATTATATTTTATTTTAAATATTATTATTATTTAATTAAAAATGTATATATATACTGTATGTATATATATAATTTCTATTATAGTAGTATATATATATATATATATATATATATATATATATATTAGTGCTGTCAAATGATTAATCACATCCAAAATAAAAGTTTTTGTTTACATAATGTGTGTGTACTGTGTATATTTATTATGTATATGTAAATACACACACATACAGTATATATTTTGAAAATATTTACATGTATTTACATGTATATATTTATAGTAATATAATTTATATTATATATAAATCTAGTTAATATATAAACATAACATTTTCTTAAATATATACTGTATATGCATAATAAATATTCACAGCACACACACATATATTATGTAAACAAAAACTTTTATTTTGGATGCAATTAATCGTTTGACAGCACTTATATATATATATGGTTATGGTTGTGTACTACTGTACATATTTTAACAAATGCATAAAGAAAAAAATGCATACTATGCAAAAATATGCAAACTATTATCATTGGCTAAGTACTATGTTATTCCAAACCTCTCCGCTTTTTCTCCTCAGCGTTTCCACGAGCTCATCACGCCCTCACCGGACCTCCCCAAAACCAGACGAGAGCAGGAGAAACTTCAGGCCATCTTTGCAGCCGACGGCGACACTCTTCGCCAGCGAGGCGGTCCGACCAAAGACGGGTACTTCCCTGTCAGCGAGAAGGAGTCGCACTGTTAGCCCAGCCGTCCCGTGATGGACCACTGTATGTTTCCCCGAGGGTGGTGCTTCTAAACCTTCCCATGATACCTCACACAGTACTGGCAGCCAAATAAGCATTACGACAGACACGCCAGGGTGACGCTCCAGCTCTCCTCGGTCTGAGAGGGGATTCTCTCTATTCTCATTGACCAGAGCACACAAAAACACAGTTTGTGTCAATATTATAGACAGCAGAATGTCACAATGTAATTTTAAACGTGATATTGGAGAGAAAGCTTAGGGTTAGCTAGCGTTACTTCTAATTTATGTCTTAACTAAGCCACAAAAGTGTCCCATGCACGGTCAAATTTAATTGGATACACATTATAGGCAAGACTCTAAGGCAAAAACATTTTTCATGCACTGGTCAATATTGAGATTTTGGGCTGTCTGGCTTTCTATAATATGTTTCTGATTAATGAAAAGAAAACATCTAAAATACACTTTGAAGTTTTTATTACACTTTATCTATTTGCATCTGAGGATTTAAATTACAATACATCTTTTTTTGAGGCCATTTTCTCGAAATGAGATTTTTCTCCACTTGCAGTAAGTAGTACGTACTTACACCAAACTTAAACGTTTTATTCATATTTATATTCTGAAGGTTTTTATAGAGGGGTTTGTTCATATGTCATTTGGTCGATTTTATACAACATTTTATTCCTAAAAACATGGTGAAATTATAATTTTTTTCTGTCTGTTGACAGTTTTTTCTGCTTTATGGAGTGATAAAAAGAGAAGGAAAAAATCACCTCTGTAATATCTGAACCTGACTGTATGTATTTGATTCACCTGGGGTGTCTGGCCTTAAATGAAATATGGTCTGATTTGCATGAGTATTTTTGCTTTCAGTGTGGATTCTGTGTTATCTTGTGCTTCTATGATATACAATTCTGCTCTCAGTAATATTGACACAAAAGTTGAACTTCTACGATCTAAACCTGGCCAAATATGAGCGTTACCTAGGGCTGCACGATAAATCGAAATGGAATCGAGATTCGACAGAAGCTGCGATTGTCATGCATATCTTTCAGTGAAGCACGGTTCTGTGATCAGCAGTAAATCTACATCCGAAGGCCAGAGGGCGCTCTCGCTCTGAAACTCCAAATACCCAAAACCCAGAAAATGCCTTCACCTGCTTTCATTGATTCAACGTGACTAATATACGGTTTATCGGAGTTCTTATTATTATAATTTTCATTAAAATAAAGTATATTTATAATGCAATGCCTTTATTACTGCTTAAATACTATGAAATATATTGCGTAAGAAGCCACATCATCTCACAGAAGGATTTACAGTATTTCAAACACTCGACTGATGTTATGAAGTGAGTTTGGAGTAAAAATATGTTATTAAATGTGGTATTTTCACATGCTTTCAGATGAAGCAGCATTTACTTCACAGAGCCGTAGTTCACTGAGAAGCTATGCAAACAGCTGTCATTATCGCGAACGATTTCTTCGATTTCAGAATCGCGCAATAATATCGTCTACGATTTTTTATTTTTTTTTGCATAACTTGTCAGTGAACTACGGCTCTGTGTAGTAAATGCTGCTCCATCTGAAAGCACGTGATGATGATTTCCTGCTGATTACAGAACCGGCTTTTCTAACAAAATGCGCATGACAATCGCATTCGATTAATCGTGCAGCCCTAGCGTTACCAGTAGATTCAGAAAGGTTCTCTTGGATCTTAAAATGACGGAATGAAGGGTTGGATCTGCATAAGCTTATTTTTTCATCATTTATTCACCCTCATGTCATTCCAAACCTGTATTTCTTTAGCTTTATTTCTTCAGTGGAACATAAAAATACCCCTGGTCAGTGTTTTTATTGTGAGCAAAAGTGCAGTTTGGAGGTCTTATTTTATCTTAGTTTCAGGCTGTAAGCATGTCTTGAACATTGGGTTGAACTTTTTTTTGTTTGTTTGTTTTGTTTTGTTTTTAATTGGAGAGATGCTGTTACAAATTATTTAAAGGGATTGCAGATTTGAAGGGAATAACGAAAAATAAAGATAGTAGTAAAAGAACAAACCTATTGTAAGTAATCATTTGAACTATTTCCAAATAATTACCATATTTGTATGTTAAAACATACACATTTACTCTTAATCGCATGCCTAATATGACTACGTTAAATGGCTTTGTTAAAGTTTTCTGTCTCTCACATTCAATTACGAAGTATTACATGAATTACCTAAATTGCATAGGCTTTTTTCAATTCAAAACGGCCGAATTTGACAAGAAACTAGAATATTGTGCATGATCGCTGGATATTACTTACATTTCTATCATTAAACCAGACACACACACACACACACACACACAAAGACAGACACACACACACAGACAGACAGAAAGACAGACACACACGCACGCACGCACAGACAGACAGACACACACACACACACACGCGCACAGACAGACAGACACACACAGAATGCGTACATATATGTGTATATGTGACTCTGTGAAATCCAGGCTAAAGTCTCAAAATCGAATTATGTGATAAGCGTCAAAGTTTGATATCAACCATTAATTTCACTATGATTTCAATCTTTGACATGGCCTTACTCAGTCAATATTAAAGCTATACTGGTTACATTTTCACAGAATGTTCTATGAAGGATGATTTCATGTAGAAAACAGTAAATCACAAAAAAATGACTTTAGCTGAGTTTTCACAGAGAGGGACACATATGCATATAGAATACACTTATGTCTACAGGTGTACATATATCTGTATGTGTATGTGTATGATATATGCACGTAAACTGTTATTGACAGTTAAGGGCTTAACTGGACTGAATGTACATATATGCACATGAAAAACTGTATAAAGTATATTATAGTAATTATATGTTTTTAATATATTTATTATATAATGGTATTATATAATAAATATTGTTCAGTACAAGGTTAATTAAATATTAAATAAAATTACATTAAAATTACATAATTTTTGTTATTACAATTTGGCCACTATGTATTCCACTGCTACACATAAAAATAGATGTTAAAAAATTAATATAGAATTGTATAATTAGGGAATAGTTTATTAAATATTATTAAATAAAGAGAGATTTTAATTAAAATTAGACAATGTTTTTATTTAATTGAAATTAGATACAAATTGACCAGTATTCCTCTGCTACATTTAACATTAGTTTTTAAGCAGTATCAAGAAAGACAGATATATAATGCATATGTGCATGGGATCTAAACATTGACAGTTAAGGGCGTGACAGGGCTTTATGAACATGTAAAAAAGTATCTTATTAATTTATATATATGATATAGCTTGATATGCTTTATAGTATAGCTTTACATATAATGGAATAATTAGGGAATTCAATACAATATTCATTGAATATTAAATAAAATGTATTTAAATAAAAATTAGACGCTTAATAATGTGTGTATTAGACACTCCTTAAATCTGTGTGATGTGTCAGAAAGATGCATTATGTCATTGTTACTGTTCACTTAAAGTGTCACACATCTGAACTAGTGCTGGGCGGTATACCGGTTCATACCGAATACCGGTGTTTATTTTTGTTATGATATGAATTTTTAAAATACTGCAATACCGGTGTGTGTCGCTTAAACAACGTTGGGAACGCGACACTGTTTGAAAGGGGTCTCTTTTCACTGTTGCACTGTGGTGAGGGAACAGCTGTATGTGTTACTAAGCGTGAAAGCTCCGAAACTGAAGCTGTAGAACTAATAGAACGTGATGACACAGAAGAACTCATCCACAATATCCACAAATATCCAGCACCCCTGCCATCAGCTCCCGCGTCTCACACACACAAGCGCGACTTTAGCACTAGATTTAGCAACTTTCAGACCCTTTTAGTGGCTTTTTTCCATAGAATATTCATACTGACAAACCTAGCGACTTTTTTTGGATAAACCTTAGCTATGGTTCAGTTGGAATATTTCGCCAGTGCTGTCCCGCAAACGCGAGGTCTGACTTTCCCAGAGAAGTGTCACCTCTCTCGGCGTCTGTTCTGTGCAGTGAGCGGCAGAGAAGCACCGCAGCGACTCCTCAATAAATGAGTACAACACAGCGTTTCCTAGCACCTGTCGCTTACTGATTGTTTGGAATTATAAATATGAGCGTAGTTCATATCACATGCACTTTTTAGTTTATAGTTTTTTTTAGTTTGTTACTCAGATGCAGGCAGTGCGCTGCATGAGACAAAAAAGTAATCTAGCCAAAACAACCGCATAGCCGCTCTTTAGTGTAGATGCATGTTGAGTTTATCAGACGATGCCGTGATTATAAATGAGAGTGACTCCTGGTTAACATGTATTAAAAGGCGTCATGTTTAGTCACTATTTAGTGTGGTATTTTTGGACAATATTCACTCATCATGACAGTAAAATAGGGCATTCTAAGTCAATATACTGCAGTATTTCCTCTCGATCAGTAGAAAATATGGTTAACACCCGCTCATGCATGAAAAAAAAATACCGTCAAATACCGTGCTATAAATTTGTGGTCACACCGCCCAGCACTAATCTGAATGCAGACTCACTGATGTATCCAGGTGTGGGGTTGAACTGTATCTCACTCAAAGACTATAGAATACCCTTAAAGGGACTTTGTCTCACTTCAGTGAGTGAATGAATCACGGGATGACTTGAGCTGTTTCTTGAATGGCTCACACTCTACAGTGAGCTAATTTGGCTTTTTGCACAATATGATTGTGTCTGTTACTGGTGTATTATAATTTTTTATGCAATGGTCGTAGTTTCTTATAACTATAGGTTTTTGTGATTTTGGGATGTGGTGCTTGAAATGTGTGCTGTTGAAGTTTTTTTGTTGTCCTTCAGAATCATATAAAAAAAACGATATTTGAAGTTGTTGAATAGCCAATTAATATATATATATATATTTTTTTTTTTCATTTTTAAATATTCATTTTTTTTTTTATAATAACATTAGTGCCATTTATTATGTTGCCATATTATCATATACAGCTTTTTTTCTTTATCCATTTGGAAATATTATAAATTATTAGATGAGTGAATGTCACAGAAAGTCCATAAAATCTTTCACCTTGAAATCAATAGACGAAAGTTGTATGATTTTCACATTTAAAATTAAATGACATTTTTGTGATAATTTTCTCTGATATTCAAGCACATATTCTCTATAATGTCATTTTTTTCTTGTAATTTCCATATTTTTCATTAGGCCATGCTTACTAATTTTTTATTTATTATTTACTTAGGTTTTCCTTAATCAGCCAAAAAAAAATTATACAAATAAAAAATTAATATTAATGAAAATAAATAAATATTATTATATAATAAAATTTATTAATGTTTTATAATAATAAAAAAATCGACCTGGGGCCGATTGCATAAAAGGTTTAGGCTTGTTCTTTAAGACTGGTAAAAAAAAAAAAAATTCTAGATTAGTTTAAGCTGAATCCAAAATATAAGACTGATTACCCCTTGCTAGTCGGTCAAACTGGTTCTTAACATAGAGGCTAAGTTTATGCAACTGGCCCCTGAACTTACACTTTTTGAGGTTTCATGAGTTGTACACACACACTACAAGAATGAACTCTCTGAGTCTCTGTTTTAG